TTTGAGGTTTGTCTGTAGATCCTCGTAAGCTTCTGCTTCTGGTGTAAAGCAGCACAATCAGAAACCTTTGTGAACAACTGAGAAACGGAGGAACTGAGAAACTGGATGGGAAGTTCAGCAGTACAAACCTAAACACAAAACACACTCATCGGCATATTCAGTGCGTTATTTACAAAGAGGAAAATACCATGCACTGATCAATCAGACATTATTGCAGTCTTTTAACAGATAGTGGAGATTAGGAGAAGCTAAATCATAGCTGATGCACACACAAATTATTATATAAATATAATGATGCCTTGCCTAATAATCACAATAAGTTAAAAATATGAAATATAAATATAATAATATTATAAAAAATATAAATATCCCTAATCTGCTTAAATTTCTAATTAAATAAAAGGTTTTATGAAATTGAAAAATATGTATGTTAATAATTGTATATGTATTTTTAAAATGTATTTATTACTTCTACTACTATTATTATTATTATTATTATTAAGGTTGTTTAATTTAAATTATTTTAAAATATGCGTATTAATATAAACAAATTAAATACAATTAATTGCAAAAATATTCTCACAATTTTCCAATTGAAATTTATTTTTGTAAATGAAATAACTATTAATTTAATTTGTTTAAACGAATATTTTATAAGTGATTAAATTATTTAATTGGTCTATTATTACACATAAATAAATTGCATACCACAATCAATCAAAGGTCATTAATTATAAAGGCTTCCTAAAGATAATAGACATGTGATTTTTTTTTTTTTTTTTTTTAAGAGGATGTGTTTATAAGAGCACAATAATAGAGGAAGCTTCAGTTTTCACCAAACACACAGACAGATCCAGCTTTCACTTTACATTCTCATTCACTATACACTGATTTATCAATAAAACACACAACTACACGAGCAAAAGTGCAACTTAACAGGTTGTTTCTTGGGCTACAGTGCATGTAAATGTGTCTTAAATGATTCAGTCAATGTGCGTGTTTTTGTGTCAGCAGGATCCCAGGGATCTGCTGGTGCTCAGGTTGAAGATTCGGCTTCGAGTTTTCTGAAAGACGCAAGTTCAGTGTTGAGAAAGTCAGCGGTTTACAGCGTTTCTGCAATGCCTCCTCCAGCAGGTATACATTAACTACTGCTGAAACACTGTAAACACATACAGTAAAACATGGTAAGCATGTACAGTAAACCACGCTGACACTATTGAGAAAACCACAGGCTGAGAAACCACTCCTGCAGGGCTATAGTACTCACTTTTAGTTATTTAGTGCAGGGAAATTACATGTAAATCATTGATTGATTCATTCATTATCCTTCGGCTTAGTCCATTATTTATCAGGGGTCGCCACTGTTTAATGAACCACCTACTATTCCAGCATATGTATTTAATGTAAAATATTAAGTATTACTCATTTGATTGCATTAATTATTCAGTTTTAATACTAAAATAAATTGTTTGCAATATGGATTGTAAGGTTCATTTTATAATTGAGAATGGTTCAATTATTAATTTCATACAGTTATTTAAATTGTGTAATTTTTTTAGGGTCCAGTTAAAGTGACAATTGTTTTAATTGTTTAGCATTTACAATCATGTGCAATTATTTTAAGTAGTTATTTAGTGCATGTGAATTAATTATTGAAAAGTATAATAATTTAAATATATTAATTACCCAATTGAAGATACACTGAATGAGAGAATTGGCATTTTTGTGTGTGCTGTGCCTTTAACAATATGCCTTTGAGAATAAGTAGTGTTATGTTGTGAGGGAAGCAGCAGCTGTGGTGAACAGGAAGTGTGGCTGTCAATCATGTTGGTTGTTTAACACGAGGTTTTCACTGTGGGCTTCACCACACACTCTCTAACTGCCGTCATATCTTGTTGTTTCTGCATGTTTAAAGGTGAAATATCACACCAATGTCTTCATGCTTTACTCCAATTAGAATGTTTTATTTTTGGATAGATAGATAGACAGACGGACAGATAGATAGATAGATAGATAGATAGATAGATAGATAGATAGATAGATAGATAGATAGATAGATAGATAGATAGATAGATAGATAGATAGATAGATAGATAGATAGATAGATGGATGGATGGATGGATGGATGGATGGATGGATGGATGGATGGATGGACGGACGGACGGACAGATAGACAGGATGATAGATGGATAGATGGATGGATGGATGGATGGATGGATGGATGGATGGATGGATGGATGGATAGACAGACAGAGATAGATAGACAGGATGATGATGATAGATAGATAGATAGATAGATAGATAGATAGATAGATAGATAGATAGATAGATAGATAGATAGATAGATAGATAGATAGATAGATAGATAGATAGATAGATAGATAGATAGATAGATGGACGGACGGACGGACGGACGGACGGACGGACGGACAGACAGACAGACAGATAGATAGACAGGATGATGATGATGGATGGATGGATGGATGGATGTGAAAAGCATCTTATCTCTCATTATTTCCTGCTTCAGTGCTTCCCAAACCCAAATTCCAGTGTCCGCCGAAGATTTCAGCTGCAAATGTAATCGACGGAGAGCAGACGGACAATGATAAAACCAGAGAGAGGACAACTTCTGACCAGAGGTGAGTGTGTCTGTCTTTCAGTGTGTATGTCAGCGATAGTGATGATACACTGGGCAACTTTTCAGAGCGATGTTGCTTGGCTACTTTTCTATTAAGAATAGGCAACGATATTGTTTCTGTAATCTAATTGCCCTGATTAGTTACCCTGTGTCTCACCTGGTTGCCCAATTCAGGTATGATTGTGTGTGTGTGTGTGTGTATGTCTGTGTGTTTCTGTATATATTTCCGCCTAAGGTTTGTTATGTCTTTATAAATGCATTTATAATATTATTGATTATAAATAGTTTGTGTAAATCAGTGCTTCCCTCACAGACTTTAACAGACCTTAAAGCTATAGACTTTATATTAACAGCTGCCCAAGTCTATTTGGTGTTGACGCATGAAAAATACTATTATTTTCATCTTTTAAATACTTTTTTGTTTCGTTCAAGAAAGCAGACTATTTGTTATCGATTAGCCAGTGTAAAATCTTCTCTCACTCTGCACCTTTCCTACTGCTGGTTCTTACTTTCGCTTTCTAAAGTTGCCATTATTTGTATGCATTTTTGCGTACAGCTTTAATAAACGACTCCGACAAACGTTGTACTGGGAGAAAACAAAATATACTGGTTGCAAAATATTTGTACATTATTAGGAATGGCTAATCAACTAATTTGCCTTATTTAAATAATCTATATATACATATAGATACAGTTAAAGCCAGAATTTTTAGCCCCTCCTGTTTATTTTTTTCCCCAATTTCAGTTTTATGGAGAGAAGAGAACACATTTCTAAACATAATAGTTTTAATAACTCATTTCTAATAACTGATTTATTTTGTCTTTGCCATGATGACAGCACATCATATTTGACTAGATATTTTTCAAGACACTTCTATACAGCTTAAAATGACATTTAGGCAGGTTAGGGTGATTAGGCAAGTTATTGTATAACGATGGTTAGTTTTGGAGACTATAGAGAAAAATAGCTTAAAGGGGCTAATAATATTGACCTTAAAATGGTGTTTAAAAAATTAAAAACTGCTTTTATTCTAGCCAAAATAAAACAAATAAGACTTTCTCCAGAAGAAAAAATATTATCAGACATACTGTGAAAATTTCATTGGTCTGTTAAACATCATTTTGGAAATATTAAAAAAAAAAAAAAAACTTTGTGTATATGTAAGTGTGTGTGTGGGTTGTGTGTGTGTGTGTGGGTTGTGTGTGTGTGTGTGTGGGTTGTGTGTGTGTGTGTGGGTTGTGTGTGTGTGTGTGTGTGTATATACACAGTTGAAGTCAGAATTATTAGCGCCCCTGTTTATTTTTTTTCCCAATTTCTGTTTAATGGAGGGAAGATTGTTTCAGCACATTTCTAAGCATAATAGTTTTAAAAACTTATTTCTAATAATTGATGTAGTTTATCTTTGCCATGATGACAGTAAATAATATTTGACTAGATATTTTTCAAGACACTTCTATACAGCTTAAAGTGACATTTAAAGGCCTAACTAGGTTAATTAGGTTAACTAGGCAGGTTAGGGTAATTAGGCAAGTTATTGTATAACAATGTTTTGTTCTGTAGATTATCGGAAAAAAATTTGCTTAAAGGGGCTAATAATTTTGTCCCAAAAATGTTTTTTAAAAAATTAATAACTGCTTTTATTCTAGCCGAAATAAAACAAATAAGACTTTTTCTAGAAGAAAAAATATCAGACATACTGTGAACATTTCATTGCTCTGTTCAACATCATTTGGGAAATATTTAAAAAAAGAAAAAAATCAAAGGAGGGCAAATTATTGACTTCAAATGTAGAAGCATTGCAGTGGGGCATTTACGCTGAAAATTTAAAATGCATGCTTTTGTTAGCATCAGACAAAGGAAAGATTTGAATATCTGATTCAATCAAAAGGGGGCTAATAATTCTGACTTCAACTGTATTATATATATATATGTGTGTGTGTGTGTGTGTGTGTGTGTGTGTGTGTGTGTGTGTGTGT